TACCGCTCGCACACTCCTCCTTTTTGATGCGCATTTTTATCCATGTTTCACAGTCGTTCCCGATGCGAACGAGCCCTTCAATTTTACGACATTTCCAAATTTTGAAAGCGTATTTCATCAAAGTCTGGAGGAAATACGACGAAACGGCTACAAGATCTTGAACTAGGTATGTAACTGCGCAACAACTTTGTTGTTTATTGGAATGCAGCAAAGCGGTAGACTACTGTGCACATAAACATGGGATCTAACGAATGGTGTTCTACCTTGAGGTCAGAATTGGATTTTGCCCCAGCTTAAAAGGTAAAGCTGGTGACCTACTTAACCGATCCCGACCCATAACACATCCTGGAACTCGTTGTGAGGAGACGTATCTATAGGAGTTTAAATTTTTCCGTTTCATTCGCTTTCAGCGGAGTTATGGTAGTGCGACGGTCTTTGATAGGTGCGACTGTCAATCACCGTCATTTCTTCAACATTCTGTACCGCGGTCTAATGTCGTACATCCATGGAAATGCACCTTTGTCCGCTATCTGATTAATCCGGTGAGGCTGAAAATCTAGACAATATCCATTCATCGAACTTTGACTTTTGTTTTTGGGTAAGCCACTGGATCAACTAAAGTTCTAGAATGCAAGTCCGGATTCGTCCCAAGAGTTTAACGATTAACCAATCTGTTGGCAAACATTATAAATAGTTAAAATAAATAAATAGATGGCAGGAAAAACAGAAGAAGAACTGTAAAAGCAGCTAAGTTCCATCTTGTCTACGTTTTATAAAATTTTATAAACTTCACTCTTTCTTCGAACAAACAAAATTAGAAGGTGAGAATAAAAACGAAGATGAGTGCTACGCCAAAATGAGTGAGCTTTTCAGGAGAAAAAAATGGGAGAAAGATTGATTTCCCGTCGACGGTTGGGGGAACACCGGCTACACGCACATCAGAGCACTAAAATACTCATAAATATCGAATGCCTGCCGGCTTTGAACTTCAAGGTATGTTGTGGTGGTTGCGCCACTTCCAACTGCTTTGTCGTCACCCAAGTTGGTGTCAGAAAAAAATAAAACATGTTTTCAAAAAAAAACTTCTATCTAATATCTTGAACATGGAATCCTGAATGAAGGAAGAGGGAACATACTCCACCCTTCGAGGTCACCCACCATCAACAGCACGGCGTGTTCAAGAGGACGCGCAAAGCAACTTTGGCATAATTCGAGTGCAATTTTGAGCGCAACATACGGGGCCTTGAAGGACGAAATCTCTTGAACCGCATCAAAAATCAAGTCTTTAAGAAGGGGGGGGGGGTGTTCACAGGGGACCAACCTTGTGCACGATGGGAGAGATTCCATCGTGAGCGAAAAATTTAATTTCCACCAGAGTTCTGCCACCCTTCAGGCTGCCTCCTAAGTGATGCCCCGTATATTGCGACAGCACCCAATTTTTGGCTTTTTTTAGACTTGACTTGTTCATGCAACCTCAGGAAATCAAAAGCACAAACCGAAGCGATATGCTCCGAAGGATCGAGAAGCAGTTTAAAATCCATTCAGATGTGACAGCAATTCAGAATCAGTAGCCAGTCGCAACCAATACCGCTTGCCAATATTATGACCGAACAAAACAGACAGAGGCGTTTCGAAATCATCACTTGACAATGGCAGGCCCTCGTCGAGAACTTTTTTCCGTTTCTATTGAACTAGTCGCTGTCGCGTGTCCTCGCCGCGGGGTTCGCCCACCGGGTTGTTTGCTCAACAGTTCGCCTGCAACAATATGCACCGCCACGGGTTTTGTCGGCAATATCGTCGAAAAATCTTGAGAGTCCGCCCAACCCAGCGATTCTTTTGGGTATACACTTTCTCCTGGTGGCTCTGGGCTCGTGAAAACCTCACCGCCAAAGAACGATAAGAAGTTTTGTGGACAACTTGGCCTCTGCCTCCCTGCGTTCTTTCAAGGAATGCTAACCGAAAGATCAGAGTTCTGGGTAGCACGAAGAACAGCAAGTAGGTGGTGAAATACTCGCATTGCCTCATCTACTTCAATGCCTCGCACCCCACAACCAGAATTATTAACTATATCTGGCCCTGTAAATTGTAAAATCAACCTTGTGTTTAGACCGAATTCCCTCCCGAAGCAATTCATTCTCTCACCAACGCGTTATTCCTAACATTCAGTTCGGTTTCGCCATGAGGAAGCGAGATTCTGCCCAGAAACGATTCGGAATCTAACGGTCTCACCTTGCCGTGGTGGGTAGGTGGAGTGTTCAAATCAAACCTTTGGTCTACCTACTCCACAAGTCCTTCAGATGGGTTTTTACCGCAAGGCCATTAATTAATTAAGCCAAAATGGTTAGAGGTAAGGCAAAAATGCCATGAGAAGCGGCCTATAACCAGAACAGTGCTACTCCTGCCCATTGATTTTCCGCACTGAATGCGGAACTCTTAGCGGTGCGGCCGCTTTGAACCCTAGCCTCTTCGCTTATCGGCCCAGAGAATTGCCTGCGAGAACTCAACCAGTCAAGTGGGGCGTGGCCAGTCTGGTAAGCGGCGCGGAGGAGGCCAGCTAAATCTCCTGAGGGCATACCTTCGCTGTAAATTGCGTGTTGACCCGCACCCTTTAGGTGTTAGAAATTCGGTGGAAGGGGCCGCCCAGTCCCTCCCCACTAATATTTTTTCCACCTTATTGTCGACCTTAGTATCGGCGAAGTTTCTCCTTTTGAACGACACTAATCATCTTGGTTTATTATTAGGCTCATCAATTGCACATTGGTCCCTGAAGCACCAGAAAAATCAGGATCAAGCAGATATAATACGAGTTCAGTGTATGCACATAGCTTCAGTCTTTACCTTTATAAGCGACAAGCGAAGCAGAAGAAATTACGGTATCTCGGATGGAAGCCAACAACAGAGCGTCGTGGGTTGAATGAGTTTTTACTATGAAGTACGGAAATGAGAAAATAATTAGTCCCCGCTATCGTTGTGTTTCAAATATAAGTACGATAGTTGCTCAACTGTTCATCCTCCTCTGATGAGATTTGTTTCTCTATGTAAGAATGTGTATCCCTGTCTATTACAAGATAAATAATGCAATTACAGGTGGCTTCACGCCAACAGCGCGAACTACCCGCTCACTTCTGCGTGCTTTACTAGGAAAATAGCACTATCTAAAGCGAAGAGAAAAGGTATCTATATTTGTAACCAGATAGTAGAATGAAGGTCTGGTCAGCGTTGATCAGTTCCTACCGGATGCGCCGCGTACCCGACCGCTTTCTAGTACCACACCGACATCTCTGATGCAATTCACCCCAATTACAACATAAGGGCAAGGCTCAGGATCGAAATGATGTAGTAATCTTGAATATGGAAGTGGTTATACGAAGAGGGGTCGTAAATGGGGGAGAAAAGGAAAAAGGGAGTCCATCTATTGACCATTCCCTTGGAAATGCAAAACAGGGATAGTCATATTTGTGATTACCCAAGTGGAGCATACAGGAGGTGAAGTTTACGATAGAAAGGTAGCTTATTGCAAAGAAGGGTAGAGGTGGTCAGTGAAGCAGGGTTGGTGGGCGTTCCGGGCAAACTGCGCCAAATAGAAGCCCGTAGTGGATCGTCGGGGCATATCCTTCGATGCGATTTGCATGTAGGCCCGCACCCTTGTGGTGTCCGCCCGTCTCTACGCTAGATAAATTTCCCCTGCTTCAACCTTCGTTCTTATCGTGGAACCCTCCGTGAAGAAGGCTCGTGTTTTCCAAAGAGACGGGAAGATGAAGTTTCTTTGGAATGCGGGGAGCTGACAGGTTGGGGGATTTTGGAAGGGGCCTTAGATAGAGGTGGGTGCCAATGTGGGATTGAGGAAAGCTTACCAGCAAATAGCAAATCGGCATGAGTATTGTAAGGAAACTCTTTCAGAAGGGAAAGGGTCCTCTGCGGATTCTCGAATTTACCTGACGCAGTAATTGCCCCTGAATCAGCGCTTCTAAGGATATAAAGGGATTTCAATCAAGAACTAAGTAATTACAAGATAATATGAGGCCAAACGATGGTATTCGCCATGGCGCTTTCGCGGAGAGGCTGTAGTTACTACAGGAACATGAGCAAGTTAAAACCAAAATGGTACGGGTGAGTGGTAAATTGGGCTTCTTAAAGGAATCTCCACGGAAAAAGCTCCGCCCTCATTACCACAGAAAACGATACCTTAAAGGAATCTTCCACGGAAAGAGTGATCATTTTGTCTTGTGTGTAGGATTAGTATTATCGAAACTAACGCTTATGTTCCGTTCTTTTTGCTATGCTCATGAGGCTAGGGGCCTAAGGGGTATCGTTTTTCTGTGGTAATGGAGGCGGAGCTTTTTCCGCGGAAGATTCCTTTAATAACCTATATCGGCAATAAATAGATTAAAGTACTACCACCTTGTTTCTTTTGATCTCCTCACGCGCGATTGATTAACCCTTATCGGAGTAAGGTTTCGGAGGAATCCCTTCTTCAGAGTCTGTAAGGATCGGATGGATTTATAACAACCCATACAAATGTCCGAAGAAAGTTCCGTGAAAACCTCCAAACCGCATGCTTCTTTATTTCCACAGAATCACCTCCAACAGTGCAACGAACGCCGATTCGGAATTCAAACAATTCATCCACTCGTCTGCACCCCTCCAATAGATTTTTATGGATTAACATAACATCCAATGAATCATTGCATGTTTTGGTTGGAAATCCACCCGAATCGATTCTGATGAACAATAGGCAAAGCTCTCGCTGCAATTTTGAATAGAATGCGAAAAATTGGGGAAAACTGGATTCACCTTTCTACGAATCGTTTTCGTTAGCTGCTCCGTGCCATCGGCGGATTCGATCCGATAGGTGATCACTTGTACACGGCATCCGTCTGTTGCGTCTATTTCCTCTTCCTGAACAGAAATAAAATATTCGGAGAAATATGAGAAGCTTTCAGTACCATCATGTTTAAAGGCAGGGGTTCTACGATTTGGTCTATCGTTGGTAGACGAGCTGTGAGAAGCTAAATCGTGCAATAGTGGAGAAATCGCAAAATGGTCTATATCGCGTAAAAGCGCCCCCTTTTTGTCCATAAGTTTTGGTAAGGCAATGGACTAGATTTCATGATAATATCGTCGATGTGAACACCATGCTCTGCCTCTTTGATGCAAAGGCTAGAGCATAGAAGGGCCAGCAACATGAATCTCGCATACGTAGGAAAATGGTCCGGACCATTGACAGGAAGCTTTGGGGCGTTTTTTGTTGCAATACCTATAGCTTGGGTGGGAATCCAATAGCTTCTCTCCTGCTGTAAGTTTTTCTTCCCGAGTAAAAATGAAATCGTATCCACTGCTATGAATGTCTTGCGAGGTCTATGATCTGCGGTTGGAATTGCGTAGTTCAAGGCTTGTAAAAGGGAGTCTGTCCAGGAACTGGCCGGTCAGTGGGTTACCGAACTATTTTCGGAAGTTTGCTGCTCGGCCTTCTCGATACAACAGAAGCAGGTGATTTTATAGGCCGACAGCAACACATCAAATCTCTAGGTTTTGATGACTACGCCTTTTTAGGCTGCTTTCAAGAAGAGCAGCAATGACTGCGCAATGGCTCAATATGAGTTGCGAAACAACATGGCCCACACGACCCAGAGAAGGAGTGCTTGAAGACCACTAGCCAAACAACTTCGGCAAAAAGCTGCATATTATTGAGGCTCCAAAAGTAAAGGAAAAGGATAAAGCATTTGCCGTTGATCAATCCCTTTTTGGGATGCGGCACGCATTCTACTTCCATTTGTACATTCGTAGTGGCGTTTGAATGCGATGTGGCCTATACAATGACTTGCGGGGGCCAGCCGATGTACAAGTCAGTGTTTTTATCCTCCCAGACAAGTCTGGTACCAATTAACCGACCCCGGAGGGATGGAAGGCTTGCCGACCCAGGATTTGATCCCCGGACCGCTCGCGTGGTAAGCGTGCCACTTGCCACTACACCACTTCCAATCCAACGCAGGAGTATGGTCCTGCAATATTATAAATCTCGTCCCATTTGCGCTTCCAATAGGCGATTGGTTGGGAGGACGACGGACATGACCAAAACTCGGGACCCCTGACGACCCTAATTTCCATTTCTAAGGGAACTTATCCTTCGATGGTCCTAATGTAATAAGAATATTTTCAAATTATTTTTTGAGTACAAAATCATTTAATCTATGCAGTAACGCGACACCATTGACATTTTCTCGAAAAGACTGCTCAGACTGCCGCGAACTGATTTTGTTAAACAACAACTCATATAGATTGAAGCAAAGAAAGGAAGTTCTGTTGAACCTCTGAGACGCGCCCTGCACTCGGCCTCCATTCGGAATCGCAACAGCATTTATTGATTTACCCAGTTCACATTGAGAGCTGGGAATCTACTCATCGAAAGTCGTTTCATTATGTGGATTCGGCCGACTAAGTGGACAACAGTTAAAGGCATGCTCCAGGATCACATTGGTGTGGCTCTGCACACAAATACGAACGTATTGCGCGAAATAGCCGGTCGTAAAAAAAGAGGAAAAGATACGTGCCGAAATACAGCATGGGTTAAGGGCTCATTCACCTCCCCAATAGGCTGTACTGCGCGCAATGAGAGATTGAGCGCGGAGAGGAGAGTATGAGGCGAGAGAGTGCGCCAGATGAGAGAGCACCAGACATAAGAGAAAAAAATCTGCAGCTTGAGCAGCTCACTTTGCAAAGCCCAAGCGCTCTTGTCGGTTGGTTTCCGTGCACGAGAACGCCACATTTGTGATTTTCCTCTAGGGTCCATCGTATACACGACCTCTGCCTGGCTTGTGCCTTTAAGGGAAAGATTCGGTGAGAGAAACATGGAAAGAGGGAATGATTTTGCGGACAACAGCAATCCTCTACTGCTATCCAAAGTGAGCCACGAAGCCGCCTAAACCATTGTACTATGCATGACCACCTTAGCAAGCGTGAATCGAATGCAACGGTCTATGCCTAAGCTACACCAGGGCTTCGCCACATTAAATATACGCGCTTTTTGCCGAAAAGATATAGCACTAATGTATTTTTGTGAACTTCGTATAGCATACATTATACGAAGTTATACGAAACTCGGCAAAACTCTGTAGAAAAATACCTTAAAAGGTCCGAAGAACTTCATAATATTAGTTTTGCCGTGAGGCCACCGCCGCTCGTCTGAGACGAGAAGATTAGAAATGACCAACGACGAGGACTCAGCCCGGTCATCCCAGAAATCGATCAAAAGCGTGGGTTACAAGAGGTCTCTTCAGCTGTCAGCTATGGACAGCTTCCCAGAAACAGGGGCGAAGAGGGAAAGGCTTCAAGGAAAAGAAATGCGGATGGGAAGGAAATTGTCAGCCCTTCATCGCGATCCCAATCCATAGCTGCATTGGAGAGAAAGGCGCTTTGCCAAATAAGGTCCGCAACATCAATAATCAGTCAGCAGAAAATCAAATCAGAAAATAGTCGTATCAGAAACTAGAAATAATGAAACAATGATAAAAAAATTTGCAAAAAATGAGGTCATGAATGGCAAGATACTGTATAAAAGCGAGCTATATCCATTTTTTACAGTGAAACAAGTTATGGGAGCCGGAGGTCGGAAATCGGAAATCGGCAGTTAACTGGTTTTCAGGACCGAAATCGAGAAAAGGTATGAAGAAAAGCGGAAATGGCCAATTTGCCGTGCGACCAACCTCAACGACGTCGATCAGTCGTCCTCCTTGAAGATCGATGTCATCGTCAACAGGAGTGAGAGCGGCTTGTGTTTGGGCGAATTGCATCAGATGTGGTGGCGGTTGGACGACGGACATCTCGAAACGTGCCAGATGACCGACAGCCCGATGCCACGGAATTGGCGCTGAAATAGGTACATAGCCGCGATGTGCACATAAAGCTTGATCATCGCCATTTACGGACATAAAGGAGGGTCTTGACGACGACGACGTCGACGACGGCTAGACAAACATACAGTACCATCAACAGGTGAAGATGTGCACGTCATGTAATATCGATTTTTTAATGTTCAAGAATTTTTCCTATGAAGACGTCAATTTGATGATATACGGTATCAATCGTTCCAGGAGAACAACACTTTGCCCTTACGAGGGAACGTTGATAGGTCCACAGTAATCTCTAACACCCTAAGTTCTGCTAAAATCAGTAAACAAGCTATTTTGCATTATTATTATTATAGAAAAACATATGAAAATAAGCGTTCGAGCCAAAATAGCGATTATTGCAATAGGCCTGCACATGAAGATGCGCCGTGCATTCGACCTCCATGGTTATACTTTTGTATGGTTTTTGGAGGATTACTGGAGAAGAAAACAATCACCCTATGTTTTCATCCTCTTCAAGTCATCGATCTCGAGAACATGGAAAATTGTCCAACCTAGGAGAGGCCGGATTAAAATGATGCATGGCGCTACCTAGCTACACCTCATCACAATAGGTAAAATTGGGACGTAAACCGAAAACCGAGTATGGTTAGGTTGAGGCCTCATTATACCGGTATTTTCGTTAAGTGATTATTTCAAATTATTTGCAAACAATTTTCTTGCTATATGAAAAATATTATACTTTCTTCGCAGTTGCCAGTAAAAGGTTTTCCGTTCAAGTTCTAGCTCGTGAACGACAAAAGTAAAAAACCAAAAGTGAAGCGCTAACACCATAAAGCCTGAAAAATGGTTGACCAAGCGGGGGAGTCAGTCAGTGAGAGCCTAGGGAAGCCTAAATACCATAGCCCAGATTCCGAGGCAGAGTCGGAAATCGGAACGTAGCAACCTGTTGAAACCCAGCGGAGCACAAAATTAACAATGATCCAAGCCTTTTGAAAGAGGCAGTCACCGAAACCTCGATTTACCTGGGTAAATAAATCCTCAACCAATCCGCGAGCTACCTACAGTTCCCGCTAGTGCCATGAGCCAAAGAGGAGTCCTGCCGAACAACTTGATCTAAAAATGTGTCAGAGGGGGGGGGGGAAGGGATGAATTGATGACTACTAAAGAGGGGCGCGTTAGGCGGAAGTCTATCCGTGGCCTTCTCACCCACTATTTATTACCTGTTCAAGGTGATATAACGCGATCTTACGATGGGTCGTTGAGAGCATACACCAACGTTGTAGAGAAAGTGATGAATTATGTTAAGTAAATAACCCAGCTAAAATGAAAAATGGACTGCGCCAGCGCATAGGGCGCCATGATTCCGAGTAGAGAAGTAGGGGGGCTTTCCGCAAGATACGCGAGGTGTTATCCAGCACCTGGCCTAGGAGAGTTTAGGGATTTCCGGGAAAAGAAATGATTACGCACCCCGGTGTCCCCCTGCCCATCTGGGGTTGAGCCCAATTTCAACGAAAGGGAGATGTTTAAGGCAACTTCAACTTCATTGCCATCACAGTGCCCCCGTATTTTGCGATAGCGCCGAAAAATTTGAACGTGCACATCGTGTATACCATCGTGTGAAGAACTGAATAGTTTATCGTCATTTCAGCAGTTTTACCCCAGTTGTCTTCCGGGATCGCTAGTGTACTCCGAGGGACATGGCAATGCTGGCTGAGTCCGGGGAAGGAGGATTGATTTGAAAAAAATGGAAACTGCTCAAAAAGATAGTCCTGAAAACAAAGAGGCTAATCGTTATTCTGGACGTAAACTGATCCAGTTCAAATTAGAGAAATTTGTCCGTAAGGGACCGGGGAGTGGGTGAGAGCGTACAAACTCGGTCCCAATTCATTAGTCTATTCGGGGTTATCACAAGATACGGGGGTGCTGTGAGGCAACATGTTCAAAGCCAGGTAAAACATCTCTTTTTCGTGAAGAACGAGACTAATGGTAAGCCTTAGGCAGCAGAAGAGAGAATCCAGGGCGCAGGAGTAATTTTCACTGTCCCCTACCAAACTTAGTCCTGGGGATGCCCCCTATCTTGCGATAGCGCCCTCTATCCAATTCAAATAGCGACTCCTTGTTCAACATTGCACAAGATCCTTATGAATATCATCATGCCATTCTCGTTAGAGAAGAAATGGAGCATTAGGTCGAAAATAATCTACGAATTGAAAATAGAGACGTCCTCAAAATCCCAGCGATTAAAAGGTGAGCTGACGAAAGTGGAAAAGTGATGGATCGCGACCAACCACTGCTCTCTATTGAACAACGACCCATTCGGCCTCGTGTCCGTGCCTAGAGGACGTCGTCGCGGACCGCTGCTGGACGGCCGTCGGTGCACTAATCGGAAAATTGCGCGGACATCAGTGGCCATTGGCCGGGGCTAAAGATCATCTCGCACTTCGTTTGGTGGTTAAGTGGCGGATTAGACACCATGGACGCTGTGAAAGTTACGTGGTCTTGGGTGAAAAATAGCAACAGTCAGTAGGAAAAAATGAAGGGATGGGGGAGGAGGGAGGATGGACAGGAAGAGGCATCCTTATAAGGGCAATGAAAAAGCTCACTTCAATTCAAGCTGTAAAATAGATAGTTCAAAACAAAGAAGCTTGGACAAAGATTCACACTCTCCTATACTAAGAGCTAGAAAAAAATTAGAAATTCTAATTGGCTTGCACTATTACTTTTTTCTAGCGGCGCAAGTTATTTTACATCCCGTCTACAATACTAAAAGGTCACTTTTTTTTCGCAAGTAGTTCTAGTAGTTGTATGGAGAATCATGAGAATTCCTAGAAATTCTTCCTAATTCGCTGCAAACTCGTGTGCCCTACCCCGACCCCCCC